GAGATGAAATCCCAAAGGCAGTTCAAGAGGGTGAAAATGAGGAGGAGAAAGCTGTGAGTACCGATAGAAAGTACAGGGAGGATTTTTAACATTATCATTTATTATTAAAATGCATGTAATGATAATTGATATGCTGATCGATATACAGCTGTTAGTAGTAAATATAGAATTCTTGTGTTGACTGTCACTGAGTAATAATTAATGCTAGTACAATTGTTTAATTATCATAGAGTATAAATTAAAATATTGAAATGTTTCAAAGAAAGATAGGTGATGAAAGATTTCCCTGTAGGCAGGCAATGCAGCAAAAAGCAAACAAAAGCAAACAAAATATCACAGTCAGGATTCAGTTGTCTGGTGCAATTTTATGTCAGTAAAAAGTCTCACAATGATTTAGAAGTGATCAAACTGTTTCTGTTATACATTTTTTTTAGCCTTTTTAATGTTGATAAATTCCATGGGACTTTGTGCCTTTTGGGATATGATGTGATGTGTAATTTTATGATATTCAATCTAAAATTATATTATTGTATAGTATATTGTATAATATATATTATATATTATATTATATTGTATAATATAGTATAAAAAATGCCTTTGGCTAAAAATAACATAATACCTAACACTGAAGAAATGTGTATCTTAATTGAGTTTTTTTCCCAGTGCATCGTCATATAATACTTTATCTGATTCATGAACCTAATTTTTTACTCATCAATTGCAAAAATTATTAACAGTCAGAAGAGGATGAAGAAAAAGTGGCAGCACTGAAGATGTCACAGGACATTATAAACCATCTGCTAGCAGTAATAATGAACTTTACTGACCTCCATGATTCATTCTGCCTGGCATGCAGTGATCTGGGGATGGTTCAAATTCTCATTGACATGACAAAAGATCTACAAGATACAATAAGTTATCATGTAAAATATGTGGTAAGTCTCATCAACTAATGTATGTGTTTTAAATCTCTTTAAGACTTATTGCATGAGCACTTTTGTTTTTCCTTTTTTATTCCATGCAATATGAACCTTTAACACTCAAAAGTGATCAACATGTAACTTCTTCCTATATTATCCATACAGTAACCAACAAGCAGGCAATTATAATACTCAAACTTATCAGATAGAAGTTGTTATCTTGATCTAACACCAATATCTTGTAACTAATTACAGCAAGAGGTGAAAATTAGTCATCAGATCTCTAGAATTATAGGGGTTAAGGTATTGAGCATTCCCAGAAAGTATAGACATGGCAGAGCTGTTTGTAAATGCTGGCAGCAAGGAAATCTGTAAGACAGGTATTTTTTTGAGTATGTCTGTGTGGCAAGTGGAGACATGTATGATAAATGAAATGGGTAAGACTTGTCCTTTGCATTCACCGCACACTTACGTTGAAATCTCTCACCTGAAAAATGACAAAAAGAAAAAAATTCAAACTCCTTGTGCTTGTTAGCAGCCTGGAATACCCACCTGTTGCTTACATTTTATCAGCCAACTGTCTATTTGTTCACTTTTTGGTTTATTTGTGTGTTTGTTTATTTTATCTTGAAATCAACAGAATCCCAAAACCCAGTACTTATCTAAGTACTCATCACGAGGAAAAATGCTAAACAGGACGTTGGGAGTCCTACATAACTTGTCTAAACGTGTGCCAACCAGGATGAATTTTGCTGCTTGTCAGGCATTGGATATACTTATTCCTCTTCTCAAGGCAGAGGTGGCACTTTTTGGTGCTAAGAGCCTACTTGTATTGGCCTGTTTGATTGATGAAGATAACAATCATTTGATCATGGCTGACGAAGGTATATATATATGAGTGGGATTAAGAGTTGATTCATTTTTTGCCTTAAAATGCAGACTCTTTTTCCACATCCCTTTGCCTGTGCCGCTGACTGGGTGTCAAATGACACTTCAGTTTACGCATCCAGGTACCTTTGCCCAACCCTATACAATCTGACCTCGATTATCCGGACTCGTGGGGACTGGGCTGAATCGTCCGGATAAACGAGAGTCCGGATAATCGAAAATTTTGAAATAAATCAACCAAAAATTAAACAAAATAGATATTACTTAATCAACATTACGCAAGAATTATGGAGACTCTCAAATCTTTTATGCATCATTACCAAAATTTGCCAAAGTATTTACAAAAAGCTGCACTAATGGAATAGCGTTAACATTGATTCAGTACATGTGCTTTGTATGGTGGGAAAAAGTTGTTACGGATCTCGATTGTGACTAATTTATATTCATAAAAATGGGACCATAGAAACGAATCCCGTTAATTGAAAAATCCGGATAATCGAGGCCTGGATGATCGAATTTCAGCCAGGTAATAGCATATTCTATGTTGGAGGAAAAAAAACAGAAATTATAATGAGACTTTTTACAGCACTATCCTCTGACCATTTCTTGTCTTGTGTCCACTTGGTTGATCCTGTGATGGAAAGAAAAAGCAAAGTCATTATTAAATGAAACAAGCCGTATTTTGGCCTGCAGGTGACTTTTTTTCCCCTTTTTTGTGAAGGATTTAGACTACGAACAATCCTTCCTTTTGGGACAAGTCCTTCGCGCGAAAAATCAATGACTTATGCGACGGACTTCGCCGAAAAGCAGGGACTGCAGGTGGTCTGTAAACGAGTAGTATTAGACTAGGCCTCCTTCCCTGATATTTTAACAAGCTTGATTTGTTCTAAATTTAAGATTCAACACCATGGTATGGCAAGAACTTTTCCTTTGCTCCGAAAGGCTACGAAACAACTTCATTCACAAAACGACCATATCTTTTCTTTTCTTTCAGGACCAATCAAATTCCTTACAACTATACTGAGGAAAGCCATCGGATCAACCACTCACAGATATTTGGGACTCTCAGCATCGGAGCTAGCAGAGGGACTGGCGCAAATTGCTGTTAACGATAATAACAAGAAAACGGTATTGATTTTGACGTTCAATTGCAAAATAATCACGGGTCAGTTACCCACTATGTGCCTAGTTTTATGTAAGGGAAATTCAGCTAAATTCATAATGATCAATTTAAGGAAAGTCACGAATTGATAATTCTATAATGGAAGAAAATTCCCCGATTTTCTAATTATCGATATTGAGTGTTATAATTTTACAGTTATTAAATCAAATAGCCACATTTATGTAACGCCGTATCTAAACGACGCAGGATGTTTTGCCTTTTTTTCTACTTTTTTGTTTGGGCTCGATTGTTTTGCCAGCGTTTTGTGCAGTATATTGTAGACTCCCACGAAACATCTTTTCTATCAATCATGAAAACTCTAGAAAACATATACCTCAGCAGTGGTTCCAATAACAACCGTTTAGCAGCGGTCTTCCGCGGCCCATAAGACTTCTTGCTGCCTTCTATTTACTCGGTTTCGTCTTAAAGCCCCTTTTCGGGCACAGACGTCATCGGTATATACAACACCATCGGTAGCCGCTTAGGGAAAAAGTTATTTCAACTCTTGCCTCGGTATGGCTTAACTTGAAAACATTCAGGGAAAGCATGCGCACGCCTTTAAATTCGAGTTGGTGTTAATTCCTAATAAGATAAACTGTACATCTCACTTCATCCGTGCTCTAGATTGGCCAATGCGAAGCTGTTCCAATCCTGGTTAAAATGCTTCAAAATGCAAAGGGGAATGTGGAGAGACTGAATGCTTGTAATACACTTTGGACGTTAGCTTTTGACGAGGAAAATAGGCAAATGATTAGGAGTGATGATTACGCACTTTTTGAGCTGCGCAAACTTCTGACCACAAGTGAGGATAGTGAGATAAAGAGGGCTGCCGCTGGTGCATTGTGGGAATGCGAAGGCAAAGAAAAACACGCTGAAGAGAAACAGCAAACAGTCACATTGGAGCAAATATCAGGTTCGTATTCGCCCAAACAGTCAGTCTCTACTATAGCTTCACAAATGATATAAGTTTCACCAGCCTTTCTCACGCTGAAATACAAAAAAAGTCCTGAACCTATACCATAGCATGTGTATACCTATACTAACAGCATTTTTTTTATGTAACTGTCATTTTATGAGCGCACTTAAAGATTCTAACTTTTCTTTGTCACATTAAACTGGATGTTGTTGTGTGGCTAAGCCAATCAATACTCTTAGGTCTGCTGAAAACAATAGTCCTGCCCTTTTAGGAAACCTCAGTAATATCTGAATGATAAGAGTACCTATTTGTGGTAAATTATGACTTTTTTGTAATTTCGCTTTAAATTTTCTAGAAGCGAAGCACGTGATGATCAGTTACCAATGGGATGTACAAAAACTCGTGATTCAGATCAAAAACAAACTTCAGGCGGACGGCTTCAAGGTTTGGATGGACATCGATGAAATGGGTGGCTCCACTCTGGAAAGTATGGCCAAGGCTGTGGAAAATGCAAGTGTGATATTAGTCTGTGTGTCTCAGAAATACAAGGAGAGTCCCAACTGTAGATCAGGTAATGACATTTTGGAAGTCAACTCATGATTCTTCTTGTGAGGCTGTCATCAGAAACTAAAATCTAGAATAATAACCTACTTCTTAAATTATGAAAAAGAGAATTGTCATCTCGCCCCCGGAATACCAAAGCATCACGGTATCATGGTAAATAGATTGATGTGTTGGATCAAATTTTCCACTCAGCTGTTGTTTCTTTGCTCATTCTTTAATACGATACGTTACCTTAGTAATATTTTGATAACATATGAATATTTTATTTTGTCGAACTTATTTAGAGGCAGAATACACATATCAGCTACACAAAGATGTCATCCCTCTGATGATGGATGGTAAATACAGACCTGATGGTTGGCTCGGCTTCATTGTGGGATCCAAATTCTGGATTGACTTTAGTGAGAAACATAAACTGGACTCTAGCCTGGACACACTCATAAGGGAACTGGGGAATAGAGGAAAATTTGAGCCGCAGGAACCTATTGGTAAAGGCACAGGAATTAAACCAGGTATAGTGGTGTGGGCGTTAATCTGGAAGACAGGGACTGGAAACGAGAGGGAATAACTCCAAACTAGTGTACATGTATTGTCAAAACTGCTTTGGAAAAGCGGACTGATGAAATAGGGAAAGTATCACAAAACCAATTAGTGGTGGCTAAAAAATTAACGTTTATCAAGGAAGGGGAGGGGGGAAAGGAAGGGGGATGCGAGGAAAGGTGAGGGAGGCTGACAATGTAGCCGACATTTTTCTCAAATTTTTAATAAATTAAATAATTTATTTTCAAGTATATCATTTTCAATATAGACCTTTTGTATCCTTTTTCCTTTGGATTGATTAGGACCCTTATTATGGTTATCTATGCTCACAAACAATCATTTGATTGCTAGTCGTAATGATTTAACTCTTATTTTATGACAGTCGCGATTGCGGATAGTGTTGATGCCTCGCCCCAGACCTCCATCAAATCGTGGACATGTGGCGATGTTAAAAAGTGGCTCAATGATGTTGGACTGGAAAACAGGTCAGCTTCTGAATTACAAAATAGTTTTTTTTTCACTTACAGCTCTGGGGCTGATGAGTTTGTCGCCTGCTTGTTAGTGCGACTTCAAAGTAAAAAACTTTCGAGCTTCATTGAATGAATCTTGGAATGAATGGAATCCCGGCTTTTTGTATTCAAGAATTTGCACTAAGGAATTAGGACTGCATGTTTTGTCAAAGGCCAACTATGAAAAAAGCGATAAATAAAAGCAAAAATATAAAAATGAAACCACTAGCGCACTATCGACCTCCTGCCGACCGTCGAAATCCCAAATCTAATGTACTCTTGTCGATAGGCAATTTAAGTGCGTCAGCTGTTAGGGTTGTTTGGAAGTTTTCTGCTGAGTTAGAGTGAAGTGAAGCGTGCTTCTGATTAATACTTCGTTTCTGAATCTTCTTTCAATTTTAATTTCTTTCTTTCAATTAATCTCGCAGATTGGATCCAAAGGCTGTCCAGCGACTAGATGGTCAGATGTTGCTTCGTCTTCAAGGTCTCAGAAAAGAGGTGTGTCCTTTTATCTGTTCTTCTGGTCTGAATATACGCCATCTAGTGATAAGATAATGAAAGCCTCAGTAAACGAGGTAAAGAACTAATAAAACGCAACCTCTCCTGCAACTGATGAAAATAAGTTATGTCCACACGACGCACTTCTCTCTAAAGAAACTTGAGTAACCAAGGGAAAACGTACATGTATGAAGGGGATAAGTTTCTAAATAAACTGTGGTAATTTGGTATTAATTGAGTTGACAACGTAAATTGGCCACCGTAAAGAGTTGGAAGATGACGTTTCGAGCGTTAGCCCTTCGTCAGAGTGAACGGACATGTTCCTGAGTTCACTCGTGGCAAATCCACTGCGGATTTCCTTTTCGTAAGCAAACACGTCGCACTGAAAAGAGTCGCGTCCGGATTTTTTGTTGTGCCATCACACGTTTAAATTTCGTAGGATTCAGTAAAGAGCCATATCGAAAGTAATCGGGGACTGGGTTGGTTTCTGCCTCATTATGCTTCCTGATTGGTCCAGAACACTTGAACACGGGTGCAGAACACTTAACCAATCAGATGCAAAACTGAACCAACTACTCTTTGGTTACTTCTGTTCTTTAGGTATACTTTCTTTCAGTTCTCTTAACCTTTGAAGGTCATCTTCTGGCTTGATCAGCCATTGTGATAAATCTAGTTTTAATTTACGATACTTAATCGAAAAGCGCTTCTTAAGGGAATGTCTTCCCTTGTTTGACAACAAGTTCTGATATTGTAATGCAAACTTTCTTTTTGGATTAGTTTCATTTCTTTTCTCTTGCTCTGTAGAGTACATTATCGATTTGTATGCAGCCTACCGCAACGCAGTTGCACAAGATGGGACTCTAATTCTGTTTTCTTTAGATCTCAATGCGAAATTTTCTCTTTGTTGCAGACAAGCCCGGATTTCTTTTACGCATCAGTTAAAGCAGAGTTCAAACTGGAAAGTTTATTTGATTTGTTAAAGTTCACAGATGCACTGGAAAAACTGGATGCATAGATTTGCTGTCGACATGCTTCTGTTTACAGGAGATTTACCCATGGAGTAATGTGTCTGCGACTAATACATCATAGATCGTCATAAATACCTTTTCTGACTGATAGTTGATGTTGTGCAAGAAGTCTGAACCCCGACTATGTTTCGGTCGCACAGTTTAGCTATGGGGCCTCTCCAATCGAGTGCACCGCGCCATCAGTGTTGACCCGAGAATTTGGGGCGGTGATTGGTCGTTAAACTCGCGGGAAAACCCTAAACAAACAATCACATAAAATATGAAATGTTTCGTGTCTTGTCCAACCAAGCAAGCACTTATTCAAGAGAAAAATGTCACGGGCGCAGAAGTTGGCTAAAGATACGGAATTACCAAAATATAAGTATAGTTATGAGACTAAATAAATGAATAAATACAGAAAGAGAGAAAGCAAAACGGGGACATTTCTTTTGTCAAAACTGCCCCTCAAATTTCTGCACTCCGTAAATGTGATGATTTTAGCAAACATCACGCCATGAAGCCTTTAGAAGGAAGCAACCGTAGCTCGAGTTACGCTGAGGCAAAAGTGTTGTTTCTGCTATAACATTTTTGCGCAATAGGGATAAGGTTACACAATTGCAAGCGTTCATTCACTGGAGAAGACGAAAGAGAGGGCAAGCGAAAAAAGCGGCGTTTGCAGTTGTGAAGGAAACGATTGCGGAACGTCGATTTTTTTTCTTTGCCTGACCCGTCGCCTTAGCGCACCCAGCACAGGCCAGAATTCTTTTAATTTAAATTCATTTTTTCACTGAATTTTCTGAGAAAAAGAAAATATATATATTTATATTAACGTCGTTATGATAGGTGGACTAGGCAGCTTTTCAGTGATATGTATTTATTATTTACAGTTGTCAATTATTTATCCCAGTGTTATTTTTTAGTCAAATTTACTATTTAAGCAACCTGTGCGTTTTTGACATACAAACAGGTTATTTTTTA